CGGGTTGCGACCAACTCGAGTTGCAACCAGAGTCACGGAACGGATTAAGTTCGTAACTAGAGGTACCACTGTAGATACATGGAGCCCATGGATGGAAACCCTACAGTCAAAGGGAGTGCAGGAAATTCTCAAAAATAAATACTGTAAGCAATTACAGTGAAAAAATAATAATGGATTGGTTAAGAAATCATTTTAGATACTTGCAAAGGTTTTGACTCAGCTAATAGTTACAAGGAATTTGTACAGAAAATGGAAGATGGGTGTAATCACCAGGAAGTACAACAGCAAGTAGCTAAAATCTGTGGAAAGAGAATTAACCTAAAGATGAAAGAAACTTAGGCTTGTAAAGGAAACTAAAAGCAATTAAAAAAAAACCTGTTTTTTTTTCAGTAGTAAGAGGTAAGCCCACTGCTAGGAGAAGATAGTAAGATAATAATAGGCGACAGGGAGAGATCAGAGTTTTTCAGCTCCTATTTTGCTACTATCTTCTCCCCACATGTTCCAATAGAACTAAACAGAACAATTGACAAAAGGAGCAAGTGCCACTTTAAGGTAAGTAAAAAGATTATTATGGGGTACCTGGTTATCATGAACAAGTTTAATTCTCCAGGACCAGAACAGTTATACCCAAAAGCCTTGAAGGAGCTTGCATATGTCATTTCAGAGCCCCTTTCTGTGATCTTTGTGAACTTGCAGAGGATGAGCCAGAGGACTGAAGGTTACTTGTTGTTTCTTCTGTCAGAAAAGTGAAAAAACAAGACCCAGGGGGCACCAATTAACTTGATGTCAATACCAGGCAAAACTCTGGAACAGTTAGATGTGAATATTTAGAAAAAATGCATTGCTTGGCAAGAGCCAGCATGTGGTTTATCAATAATAAATCATGCCAATCCAAATTGATCTTCTTGTTTGACAGAGTGACCACTTTAGTGGTTGCCAGGAATGTGACGCATACAATGTACCTTGTTTTTAGCGAACTATTTGATGAAGTCTTACATGAGATTCTAAGACGGCAAAATATAGATTGAACTATGCTACCATTATATGAATATCAAGCTGGTTGAACAATTGTACCCAATAAGATTATATCAATGGCTCTGAATCTAATTGGAAGAAAGTGTCAAGGGCCCATACCAAAAGTCTCCATTCTAGGCCTTGAGCTATTCAACATTTTTATAAATGACTTGGATTGGATTAAGGGTTAAAATATATGCTTATCAAATTTTCATATGGTACAAAAATGGGGAGGTAGCAATCACCTTAGAGAACAATATCAAAATTCAGGAGAATCTTGACAAGCTGGAACATTGGGCCAAAACTAGCAAAGGAAATGTCAGTAGGGACAAATGCAAAATCTGACTATTGGTTAAGACAATTAAGGACATGAGTATAGGATAGAGGGGACCATACTAGGCAGCAGCATGTGCAAAAGGGATCTGGATGTTTTGAAGGATTACAGCAGTGTTTCTCAACCTCAGCAACTTTAAGATGTGTGGACTTCAGGGAATTCTGGGAGTCAAAATCCACACATCTTAAAGTTGCCGAGGATCTGGATGAAACGGATTATCTGGACCCCTTTCAGTCGGGATTCAGGCCTGGATATGGGACAGAAACAGCATTGGTTGTGCCTTTTGATGATCTCTGGAGGGAGCAGGATGGGGGCAGTGCATCCATCCTTGCTCCACTTGACCTCTCCGCAGCCTTCGATACCATCGACTATGGTATCCTTCTGGAACGGCTCCAAGGGTTGGGAATGGGGGTACTGTGTTTTCCTGGTTCACTTCCTTTCTCCAAGGCCATTTTCAGTCAGTGTTGATCAGGAGCGAGAGGTCCAACCTGTGGTCCCTGCTTTGCGGGGTTCCACAAGGGTCAGTGCTTTCTCTGCTCCTGTTTAACAACTACATGAAACTGCTGGGTGAGATCATCCATCACCATGGGGTGAGATATCATCAGTATGTTGATGATACTCAAGTTGTACATCTTTGCCCATGGTGAGTTAAGTGATGCTGCGACTGCCCTTTCTCGGTGCCTGGGGGCTGTTGAGGTCTGGATGGGAAGCAACAGGCCGAAACTGAACCCTGGCAAGACGGGGCTCCTTGGTTCTTGGAGATTTACCATCTTTGGCTGTGGATGGGGTTGTACTGCCCCAGATGAACCCAGTGGGGGTTCTTCTGGATTCACAACTCTTGCCTGGGGAGTAGGTAGCAGTCATGGCCAGGAGGGCCTTTGCACAACTGCGAGTTGTGTGCCAGTTACCCCCATTCCTGGACCATCATGCCTTTCTCATAGTCACCCGCGTCCTAGTCACCTCCCATTTGGACTATTGTAACATGCTTTACATGGGGCTCCCCTTGAAGAGTATCCAGAAGCTTCAGTTGGTTCCAAATGCAGTAGCCCGCGTAGTTTTGCATAAGTCTAGATTTGTGCATGTGTTACCTCTTTTGTGGGAGCTGCATTGGTTGCCAATTTGCTTCCGGGTCCAATTCAAGGTGCTGGTTATCACCTGTAAAGCACCACATGGCTTGGGGCCTGATTATTTGAAAGACCGTCTTTCCCCAGTTACGTCTACTCAGCCCACCAGAGCAAGGAGGCAGGGTATGTAGCAGGTCCCATCTATGAGAGAAGTACATCTAATGGGACCACAAAAAAGGGCCTTCTCTGTGGTGGCTCCCTCCCTATGGAATATCATTCCCCCAGAGATAAGAGTGGCCCCCACATCAGTACATTTCTGGAACCTGAAGATGTGGTTTTGCCAGGGAGCCTAGGGACCCCAGGTTAATACGGAGCCAATCAAGTGGTTGATTTGATTGTGTTTGCAGCTGCCTGGGGGGGGGGGCAGAGGGGTTGATGGGCTTTTTGTATTGTGGATTTAATTTTGTTAGCCACCCAGAGTCAACTCAGAGTCTGTGAGTTGAACAGCCATATAAATTTGTTTAATAAACAAACAAACAAACAAACTATAAGAGCTATTCAGCTATGAAACAGACTGATTCAGCAAGTGGTAAACTCTGTTGGAGAGCTTGAAACAGAGTTGAGTGCCCCAATATCAGGGATGCTGGAGTCCTCAAAGGGCAGGGGGTTGGATAGATTATGTGGAGCCCTTGGGATTCTCTGAGCTTGGTTGTTTTCTTGCAGACATTTCATTACCCAACCAGGTAACATCTTCAGTTGGTGTTCTCTGAGCTTGGTTGTTTTCTTGCAGACATTTCATTACCCAACCAGGTAACATCTTCAGTTGGTGTTCTCTGAGCTTGGTTGTTTTCTTGCAGACATTTCATTACCCAACCAGGTAACATCTTCAGTGCTAGAAGGGAGTGGGGTTTGATCTTTGTTTATATACAGTAGCTTGCCCTGTCAGTGTTCTGAATTGATTTGAAATTCTGAATTGATTTGTTCTATGAACCATTTATTTGTTGCCCTAGCTAAATTTCCTCAGATTACAGGAAATTATTGAACCATGAACTGATCATGTGGGTTGCATCTGCACCCTACACTAGGCTAAAAAGTGGCTAGGTTACTTTGTAGTTCAGCATAATCTGCAAACAGTATGGCGGTTTAGCCTCACTTCAGTGGGGAATTTGCAAAACCTGAGTGGCTTCATCATTATACATGTGAACTGAGAGCAAGCTCTGTAGCCTCTGAGTTGTAGGGGACTCTTTTCTGGGCAAGACCATTGCAATATTCTCTGGACCAGATGTAGATTCTAACGATGCAAGATCCATTGAAACCAATGGGTTTGCACTTACCCAATTTGCACTTACCCAATTAAATTGCAGGACACCCAATTTAACTTACTTTGATTTCAATGGGCATAGCAGTAATATGCTAAATTCAGAGTCGGAGCCAAACCTCTGAAGCTGGTTTATACAGGGGAACTGAAAAGAATGCTGCATTACACCCGAGCGACTTACGACTTTTGTTTAGCCTTGCCTAGCTTGCAGGCGAAAGCTGCTCAGCTTCCTCCCTCTAGGCCGGGCACTGCAAACGGAGCCCTACCTGGGCAAGGTGTAAAGACCAGACCGTCCTCCTCCTCCTCCTTTCCCGTCTTGGCATAAGAACCACCGCTCACCTTATCACCTTCCATCGCAGCCCTCCACGGCTGTGAGGCGCAGCATAGCGGGTGCCTGCCGGTCTTCGGGCTCCTAAAACCGCAGGCCGCAGCTGCGTTAGGAAACCTAGGCAACCCGGTTACTGTTCTGCCTGGCAACAAGTAGGTCAAAGCAAGATCACAGCCGATAGGTCGAACCGGTCCCGGGAACCAATGGAGTGAGCACGAGCGGGACAGACGAGAACGTCGACCGCAAAGGATTTGGGGAAATGGAGTAATGGCTGTCTTGGCTCCTGTAGGATTCTTGGAACTCTAGGAGAGAAAGTGGAGAAATGGAATAAAAAGCCGATAAGGAAAGCCCTGGTAGTTATGCAGGGGGGAAAATAGCAACAAGACTTTTTTAATACTGTATATATTTTTGGAGGAAATACAGCATCATAGGACATAGTTTGAATATAGTGTTACTCTATCAACTGCAGGGCATAATTTCTGTTCTCACTGGGTGTTAATGTTCGCAAGGAGAGATTATTTCGTAAGTCGCTTGGGTGTAATGCAACATTCTTGTCAATTCCCCTTAAACCTTTCTCTCTCTCGGGATTTCCCCCACAAACTACAATCACTGCCACAAACTCTGAGCACCAATGGGAACACGGAGCAACCTCGACAGCGGGTGCCTCGGTGCACTGCCTTCCCAGGAGGAAAACTATTTATTCCTGACAGCAGGAATTCATTTATATATTTTGCAAGAAAGGCTGAAATCAATAATTTCGTAGCTCTGCCCTTTTAATGCGTCGTTTTGTTGTTCTTAAATTATCTTTACAAAGAAAAATACTGGCACAATGATAGACTACTAAATAGATCTCGTCTTCCCTAAGGGTTGCGATGCCATTAGTCGAGCGCCGGGTTCTGAAATAAAAGAAGAGCGAGGACGCATGCGCACGCACCTCGTTTAAGGGAAGCCCTTGCAGGCGGTGCGTCGCAGGAAAGGTCTTTCGATGTGTGTGTGTGCGCGCGCGCGCGCGGATGCTCAGACATAGACCTAGAGTAGGCGTGAGAACGAAAGGGTGGATTTGGAAAAGGGGCGGGCCCCAATTTTGCGCATGTGCAGGAGTAGCGCTGGGGGTTCTTCGAAGGGCGAGTCGCTCAAAAGAAGCGACGCTAGTGGGTTGAGCCTGGTTGAGCGTGCCGAAAAGAGAAGGAAAAGGCGGGGTCTCCGTAGGGTGAGTGACGCCTCTGGTGTGTGGCTGGCTGGCTGGCTGGCGGTGGCTCGAAGTGGACGCAACTTCCACAGGACGGGCGGCCGTCGGTGCCTT